ATGTTAATCTTCATAAGTGCTAATTAAAGCTATTTATTTAAGCAAAATAAACATCAATAATAACTTAACTTACATTCTTTTAACAAAAAAGGTTTGTTTGCATATGAGTTAAATTATCACTAAGTAATAAAACTTAAATTTGTTACTGGTGATTTTGTCGCGGGTGTATACTGTTTTATAAAAATGTTGTAAAACTGCAATATTTTTAAATTTATCTTATCGACCCATATTCTTTGCAATATAGTGTACGTTCGGAAAACAAGTTAATATTTCATTTTTTTTTCATTTTCCTACTCTCGGTTGTTATTTTAATCCTAGACGTATCTGCAGTATTTTTAAACAAAAGAAAGCAAAATAATTCACGTAGCTGAATATGAATCCGCGCGCTTGCGTGACATGTAATTTAGATTTTTGCCACGAGGAAAGTAGAAAATATTATATACTCCCTCGAATACTACTGCGTTCTAAATAAACTCCGGCCGTATAATTACATACTTATGTATTGTTGTGTTTGTAAAGAAAATAACTTTGTTTTATTCTGGTATTTTATAGTCAAATACCAGGATTTTATCCCATGACCGCCATTAGGCTAATGGATGCACCATGGACATATTAAATCGTCATCACTATACATCCCCACTGAGAGGCTCGGAGCCTACCATAAGTATGGGTTACTAGGCTTTAGCCAACCAAGCTCACCCACTGCGTGTTGGTTGACTTTACACATATCTTTGCATTTCTTCGGCAATATATGCAGGTTGCATCACGATGTTTTCCGTAAGAACATTGGGCAAATTACGAGTATGTATAGAATTCGAAAATCAAAAATTACATTTGCACGGCGGTGAATCGAACCCAAGACTTGTAGATTATAAGTCAAGAGCTTAAACCACTGAGCCACCGACGCTCTCAGTTCACATCTATACTCATATGAAGAGAGAAAGATTTGTATTTTTGTATATCATACAAATGTTATAAATGTGAAGGTTTAGATGGATGGATGGATGTTTGTTAGAGTTTGTAGACTAACCCGCCGATCGCCGATCTCGATCAAATTTGGTATTGTTGTAGAGGGTAGTCTGGACGAAAACATAGACTACTCATTTCTGTTTTTTTTTTTTATGCCACGCGGATAGAGTCGAAGGCAAAAGCTAGTATTAAAATAACTCAAAAACTACTTCAAAAAAGGCCGATTTCAAAAATTCTTTCACCAATAGAAAACTGCGTTATCAGTGAATAACATAAGCTACATTTTTTTTAATTTCACTCGGACGTAATTGCGAGCAGCCTGTACTATAAAAATACTTCCATACCAAGTTTGATGGTAACGTCAGCACATATTGCCAATCCAAGCTTAGCTTAGTATTTGAAATTGCAGCAGTTGGCTGAAACTAATTTCCCTAGATGGCAATTGCAATAACAAGTCTCTGCGTTGTGTCAAACTTCACATTGTCGTATTTAATTAGCTACTGCTTCAGAATTTGCTAACGCTCCAACTGCGAGTATGCGATGAAAATGCTTTTGTTATCATCTCTGGTAATTTTGAATACAATCTCAGTCTATTTGAATTGTATTATGCGATATATCAATTGACGTTTTGTTTACGAATCCGTTCATTTGCTATTTTTAATTATACCTAAGATTGTTGTATCCAGATCACTTAAACTATAAGGGCCTGTACTACCATTGACTGATAGAGGCTCAGATAGCTTGAAAATGACGTTTAAATCCGATATTTCCATCACATATTTTATACGTTGGATTGTTATCAGACAATTTACAATTTGGTGAAAAGGGCTTTAATCTCGTAAACTAAGAATGTTAGCTTAATTAAATAAATAAATCTATTATTTTTTTGACTGTTTGCAACAATTTTCTTGTTTTACCGACTCCCAATCAGGTATTTTAATTGTAATTTTATAAAATTGTACTCTTGTATAATTTTGATTTACGTATAGTTTTATATAAAGGATGTATAAAATTATCATGAGTAGTTACCAGGAAATCAAACCTTACGTTACATTTCCGGTACAGAGCCAATAAAATTCAAACGAAAGGATTGAATTTATGAACATAAGGGTGCAACAACATTAGAGTGGTGTGGAACCAAGACAAGATAATTAGAACATCACTAAATTAAAACTGTAAAACAATTAAGCCAGTGTGTAGCAGATAGCACTGTTAGAGAGCGCACACCTAAAACTAAATTATCGCACAACTGTTTTGTCTCGCTTTGATTCTTATCAGCTTATATGGAGGTGCGAACACTACTCGATTTTCAGTTATGCAACTAAACAGTTGACTTGGCTGCGAAACAATTGACAATCGCACAACTG